ACTAACTAACTAACTAACTAACTAACTAACTAACTAACTAACTAACTAACTAACTAACTAACTAACTAACTAACTAACTAACTAACTAACTAATTCTAAACAACATCATTTCAGGTTTATTTGTAATTTTCTCACTAACACTGCAGTGTTTGATGTTTTTACTTTTAGGCCAGCAGAGGGCGGTTTTCCTGTGTGTCTGTGTTGTGACCACTGCGGCATTTTTACATCGTAACACTTGTATTTTATAAGAACAAATTAGAAAAATAAAATATTTAAATTAAGGAAAGGTAACACAATCATTTTTAGCCAAATGAAATGTGTCCTTTCTCAATTTATTTGRTGAACCTGGCAATTTAGCTTTTAATTAACAACAAACCACATGAGAAAACAAATAATTTTCAAAAGAATGCTTAGAAGTAAAATATTTGAGTCACGTTATTTTTTTAAATACCTCTGTAATAATAAAGGTGAAACGTTTGACAAAAAGCATAGGTTTTACTGCTTTGTTTATGTGTCACAGGCTCATTTCTTACATTTGATCAAATGAATAAATATTTGATGCAGATTCTGTTAGTAACACGTCTACGGCTCATTACTGGATTGTCAGGAGTGGGACAAATATTATCCTTTTAGTAATTGCTGGTAGCCATCTTTTTAGCCCGATGAATATTGATGAGGTCACTGAATCCTGATGGGTTCCTGCCATACTGAACTCCATGATGAACTCTGAGGAGAATATTGTCATCTACGATACTGCAGCAGAGAGGTTCAAAGATAAATCCTGCATTGAGTCCCTAAGGGAAATTGTTTTCTCAAAGCAGTAAACAATAAGGAAGACATAAATCAAAAACAGAATGCACAATGTGAAATGAGAGAAAYAGTAACAAATGGATAGATACTGGTGAATGTTGATAATATTTTCAAACCATTTTTCTAGGATCAAATGTATTTTTTATACGAAAAACATCAAAACCTGTCAACTTTTACATTTTATTTAAAAGATTTTCATTTAAAATGGGAAAACTTGGGAACAAACCTTTTGAACCAAGAAAATAACATGAAAAATGATCTATAAACAGACTCCAAAAATCTTTGTGAGAATTACACCTTCACTTGTTTGAGTAGGTTTGTGAGAAAAGAATGGACAGCWTAACTGAAAACACAGTATTTCCTTCTCTGTTTGTTTTAACGAACAGTAATACTGTTTAAATCCAGYTTTTGTATTCTGTATTGCACTTTTTTTCTAATTTCCCTGTGATCTCAATGATGTTGCTGTTATTTCTCCATAAGTTTAATGATCTGCCTGCTGGTAATTCATAATGTTTAATACATCAAACAAGTCTGTCAGCATGCCTGATTTTCCCCAATAAAATCAACTCTAATGTTAGAAATTACAAGCTCAGATAAACAAGCAGGTGATGATAACCCGGAGCAGTCTTTTCAAGATTTACACGCTTGTTGCCATGGTGATTCCAAATGCTGCCGGTGTCTAGTGGTGGAGCTTCAAAAGATAATGCACCATTAACCACAAACAGACTTTGGAGCTGCACAGCTGCTCCAAACCTCTTAAAGAAGCAACAAAAGCTGCTTCTTTCATTCTGCAGCATAGTCAATCTCAATTTCATCTTTGATTTAATTTATAATACTTTCATTAAGATTGTGTAGAATGATATAAATTACTCAGTGATGTGCGAAGTTTTCCTGAGTGGAATATTYTCTCCTTTATTACTTCTAAATCTTGTCTTTTGTTTTAGTACTACTAAATGGAACACAAAAACACATTGAATATATCCACAAAATCATAACATTATTTCTCCAGGACAACAATCAGTTTATTACCCACCATCGTGAAACAAGGTGTTTTTGTGTGTGTATGTGTGTTCATTTGTCTGTTATTCATTTGTTCATTTTTAGGACTATCTAAATTCCTAAATTTCAGCATTAAAACCACATGAGGTTCTACTCCTGCAGATTCTGACACGCACTCAACAGTTCCGCAGCAGATTCATTCGAACAAGCCCGTTTACGCCACACAAACACAAATCATAATGTATGTGAAAACCAAAAGATCATATCCTTCGTTGTATTTTGAAGTCATCCCTGCTTCAGAAGAAGACAGAGTTTGATATAATGACCCATTTGTTACTGCAAAAAATAATGAGCCCAACTTCACACAGTTTTAACGAGTTGTCGGTGTAGCTGTGGTTTGTGTGCATTAGTGTGCTGACCAGCAGCAGCAGTGAGGTCGTCTGAGATAAATTTCTGCAGGAAAGTGGAAACTTTATGCCAGCCTATTATTCATACACTAATGTCTGTGCATCTGAATGTATACGCACATTATTCTTTATGTCTTTGTTGTTAATATATAAGTGAAGACAGATGAGTGATGCTCTGGGCATTTTGAATTTGTTACAGCCGTTTATATATTTACTGGCTTTTCTAAAGGGCAGCAACCAAGAACAACTGAATTCTGTTCTATTTGTTTATAAAGCAACAATTCACAACAATGTCGTCTCAGGGAAATGCACATAATGTACATGTCCATAATAAAATTCCACTTTGTAAAAATGATCTATTTGAAGAAGCCAGCAGATTGCACTGAATCTTGATGACGTCCTGATTTTCTATCTTGAGCAGCACATTGGTGACAGTGGAAAGGAACAACRCTCTTTTAATAGAAGAGCCAGGCTGAGGATTGGTAGCCATCTCTTCRACCGGCTGGATTAAGAGAGAACACAGAAYGACTGGTCCTGATGTGGTTTCTATGGGAATGAAGACAAAGAAAAGCATGTTAGTGATAGAAATAATAACAAACACAGGGAGTAGAGCAAGTACAAACAGCAGCAGAATGATGTCATTGACTAATTCCAAATTCAGAGGATGCTTCCCACGAAGGGCCCAGTCTACCCAGTCTTACACGGTCCTTTGTCAACCGTGAAGACCAGAACAATATGGCTGTGAATTTGGATGGTTTAGCCTTTAGTTTTTTCCTACCCTTACTCCAGTGTTTGTCATGCTGCAAAGCAACTGTGATGTTACTTAACAGAAGCAACAAAGATTGGAAATAGATTGAAATTTGCTTAATATTAATATTTAATATTTTTTTTAAATTAACAAAATTAACTTAGAGACAATATATGAAGAATGGCCTGCCATATAATCTTGTTTACAATGGTTTGCGACAAACAAAGCCTAACAACACAATTGCTTTAAACTTTCAATTTTTGTACCACCAGATTTTTAACTGTACTCCTATCTCTATGCTTCGTCCTTTATTACAAGCAAGAAAAAAAATGTCCCTGTTGGCCAAATAGGGTGGGGTAGACTGTGAAAGATACACAGACTGGACCCATCTGTCAAACTGGGTGAAAAGGAGGACACATTGCAGCAAATGGAGGAGTCTTTGGATTTTGGACAGCCATTGGTGCATCGGTGTGACATAACTGGCCTTCAAATTTGGCCTTCGAAGGACACAGCCATTATCTACAGTATGTATGTATGTTGTACAGTATGTACGTATGGGTTTRGCCTCAGCCACATGTTCTTGTCAAGCAAACGTGGACGAGTTTGACAAGCTTGGTATTTCAATGTGTAAGAAAAGCCTAAATAAGTGCATTTAAAAGGTAATACAAAAAAAAAAAAAAAAACAGCCTCTGTGCATATTTCCCAGACATGTATCATATAATGTCTGCTTATCTTTAGAGATGTGYTATTTTTTGTGTATTTGTGTCATGAAACGTGTAGGCCAGGATTACCTCTGGATGTCAGGAGAGTTCATGCTGCAATTTTGTGACTCACGCTGGAGCTTTTCTGGTTGACATACCCCCCCACTCCCCTCCCCTCTTCCATTTGGGCCTGAATCGTTGTGACTTTAGCTTTGAATGTTGTGTAAAAAATATTTTCTGACAACAAACAGGACTTTACCCTTTGAGTTGCAGAGATATTGTAACTCCACTTTGGATTGTGTCTTTTTTAAAAAAAGGGAGTCAGAAACTGGCATCATCTTTTTTTTTCTGTCATCAGCAGATTTCACCCTGCACATTGTATAAACGTGGCTGCACCCATGGAGGCATCATGCTTTAATAAATCTAAAAGCCACAGCTCGGTGGGTTTTATGTCCAGTTGAGCATTAAGGGTGAATACAAGGTGAGCGGCTGATGGCACTCTGGTGCAGTAATTTGCTGGGATCTAAACAACACTTACTACTCACCTGAAAATTGTCACCCTTTGTGAGTCATAGTTTGTGTGTGTGTGTGTGTGTGTGTGTGTGTGTGTGTGTGTGTGTGTGTGTGTGTGTGTGTGTGTGTGTGT